CCTGAGTCTCACCAAGTCTTTAGGTCTAATTATCGGTTTGCCTTGGTGGACAGAGGAACAATTTAAAGGAGACATGGGGAAGCAGTGAGATCAAAGCAGAAGGTGGGACACTCTTATGTAAGACTACTGGCCTGTTGTCTTTAACTAGGAAATGTCTGGGGAAAAGATAAAGAGGTTGTGATAAGGACTCTTCTAGATTAAAAGAGAACTTAGACTTTAGAGCTTGAATTGATTCTGGTTTTAGATCAACCAATTCCCCAAGACATTTTGGAAGCAATTAAATATGGACTAAGTATTAGATGGTATTAAAGAATTAGCATTGATTTTATCGCATGTGATCGTGGTATGGTGATTAGGGAGTGAAATCTCCTTTTTTTTTTTTTTTTCCAGAAAAGTACCTAGAGATATTCAGGGTGGGAATGCTATGTTGTCTGAAATTAAAATACTTAAGAAAAAAAGAGTTGAAACAAATTGGGCAGAAGGTTAACAATCACAAACTCCAGGTGATGACAGTATGGTAGGGGGGTCATTATTGTATTATTTCTGTCTTTATGTGTGTTTGTAAATTTTATTTAATAAAAAGCTGAAAAATAAAACTGAAGCAATGAAACATCAGTTAAGGTGACTCCTTCAGTCCCCCGCCCATCCCCCTCTTGAAGACTGGGAGCTGGCAAGAGCTAGAGCGGCTGCCTTGACCCCCTAAGTGGTAAGGCACGAGTCGAAGTTGACAGAGTGGTGCCAGGTCTGGACCACCTGCCTACCCAGGGAGAAATAGTTATTATAATTAAGCCGTTGGAAAAAAATTTAATTTTATGCATTGTAAATTTGCTTGATGTGTCAGGAAGTAATAGCCACACTCTGAATCTCAGAATTCCCACTCTCCCCTCCTACACCTTTGAGACTAAATCTTAGACCCTATGAGACGTACAAAACTAAGGGCCCAGGGAACAACTCACTGTGATATTTGGAAGATTGTTGATTCCTAATAAAAGTTGCCAAAGAGTTTCTTTGATTTTATCTCACTGATGATCATATGACCTGCCTCCATGTAGGTGGCTTATAAAATAGAAATGAAGCTACCCTGAGGACTCAGAATCAGTATGTAAAACTTCATATAAATAGCCCTTCCAAATAGTACACCAACATCGAGGAAGGGGAAGTTATCATAGACAGAAGTACCTGGATATAAGAAAGCTATTTCTAAAATTCATGGATAAAATACATATCTTCTTGGCAGGATCCTGATGGGCAAAAGTTTCTAGGCATGGTTTGTGGTCTGCGGCAAAAATAATAGTTAAAGATTTAATTTGTTTGAGAATTGTTTCCCAGACTGTTATTATAGGATCACTTACATGGTGCTATAAAAATTTTATATTTCAAGAAGTGTTTGATGTGTCAAAGACATGTACTAATGTTCATACTATCCAACCCTCTAACCCACTTCTCATCTTTAATGTTGAGTTGGCTTCATGAGTCCTTGTGGGGAATAAACTTGTAGGCAATGACGGTTCATTAATACAAACAAACCAATTGTAGGACGATTTAGGCTTCCCATCAAAAACCAAGCTATGATCAGAGACTAAAACAGTGATTAAAACCTGGGTAAGACCCCATTCCTAGACAGAAGTGTTAAGTGGGTAAGTCTCACATTCACCCCTCCCCAGCCTCACCTCGCCATGCATCTCCCTCACACAGTCCACCCCACTCTTACCACCTTCCCCAAACACTGCTACAGTCTAGGAACTCAGCTTCCCGGCCCATGGCACATACCTGTTGTGGTATTTTGGTACCAACATAGCATCATTTGGGACTTTCTAAACCTCTGCCTTTTCCCCCAAAACTTCCTATAATCCAAAATATAACTGCTGTTGAATTTCCTCAGAATACTCAGAATACTTAACGGACAAGTAATTTGTCTACACAAAGTCAAAATTCTTAAGTTACAGTGGTAAAATCTTATGGGCATGAGATGACTCGGAGTCTACCATATGATGCTTTTTGTTCAGTTTTACTTCTATCTACTCACTAAACAATTCATCTTCAACAGAACAGGGGGTGCAGAGGGGATTAGAAGCAGGTTAGAGGGGAAAGTCAAGTCAGAAATGGGGAAGGGGGAGAGGAGAGCACATTTACATTGAAAATAAAGGAAGGGTTGTTTTTTCTTTTTTGCATTGATTTGAATTTAGTCACAATATTTATTTTCAAATAACATTAAAGAAAAAAATTAAATTTCTATATTTCATAAAAGGAAACCTGAGAAATACTGCATTGTCCCTGATCAAAAGTAATGTTAACAGAAATGTCTAGACTATTTGCATGTGTTTGTTTCTATTTTAATTAAATGATAAATTTACTCACTTTCAATTATTCTTACTATCTGACCCCCATTTTACAATAATTAACAACTGTAACAAATAATTATATCTATTTTACTTAGCTGTCTTTGGTTCTTTTTGAAAGTGAATATCAAATTTATAGAAAAAAAAGCAGGGCTATATGAGCTGATGTAATAGTACATATCATACCACTATAGCTGACCCAAGATTTTCATTGATTCCTTCTTCTGTGGCGAGATTTCAGGCAAGGAATTGGTCTTGGCTAAGATAGATTTTGGCAACACAGGCTTGTAGCTCTCCTAATGAATCGAAGTATCTCACATGGTGCCAAATATTTTCTCAACCCACTTATACCTGTAGTTGCTAAAAATTTAGCTCCATGCCTTGGGATGATGTTACCAGGCCCATGATGAGAAAAATAAGTGTAACACAATGAATTTTTCATGAAGCTAATTTTATTTTAAAAGACTGTTTTATTATAATAGTATTACTTGTTTTTAATGTGGAAATCAATCCTTCCCTTTATAAAACAATGTTGACAGTAGATGGTAATTGTTTTAATGTGTGCTTAATGTTTTTAATTTAACAAATTAAAAGATGGCAACCTATGTCTCTTTAGTCGTTTTTTTTCGCTAGAGGAGGACAGATTTTACTCGTGCTGGAAATCCAAAAGCCTAAGACCCATTGCTCCATAGTCTATTGTCTGCTTCAAATGTTGTTTTCCAGGAGGTAACTGAAGCAGACTACAGCTAGGAGAGAAAAGAATCGAATTTCAAAGATGCTTTTCAAGTTGAAAACTACTTGATACTAATGCTTTTTTCTTTTCTTTTTTTTTTTTAACTGAGAAGATGTTTTTGGATTGAAAAGACCAGAGCTTCTGAGTAAATTTAGGAAACATTTTCTTCATCTGCACAAATAGGATTAAAGAGCCTTTCTTCTGGGCTCTTCACTGTAATTTCAAAATAATCATTTTCAGATTAATAAACCAGAGGCTGCCTTGGAGTTATCAGGTTTTCTTAATTAGGAAATCTGAAGTTAGCTAGAACCCAGCTGCAGAACATAAGACAAAAGGAGGGAAATGTGAGGCAATGCTTAATCATTTCATTATGTGCAATTAACCATCTATTCACACTTCTTAAAAGCAGAGGCCTGGGATGATGGTGTCTGCAAGAAAACAAAATGTGTAACTAAATGCCCCTCAGTTTCTTACCTTCAGTAAAATTTCATCAGTGCTGCATAAAATTTTATTGTTATTCTTTACAATTACTTGTTTCCTCTCCATTTCCCCTCCCACCTTGGGAATCTTTAGCTTGAAGTCCTGGTAAATGGTTTAAACTATCAAATGAAAATTTAAAAAGTTATTTTTAAGGACAGAAAATAGTATCTTTTTCTCTCTCTCTTTTTTTTCCTTTTATTCTTCTTCTTTTTTTTTTTTTTAAAGACAGAGAGTGAAAGAGAGAGAGACGAGGTGGGCAGAAAGAGAGAGGGAGAGAGAGAATCCCAAGCAGACTCCATGCCCAGCACCAGTCCCACCCTGGGCTCATCCGAAGAACCTGAGATCATGACCTGAGCCAAAATCGAGAGTTAGGACCCTTAACCGACTGAGCCACCCAGGCGCCCAAGAATAGTATCTTATACTTAAAAAAAGGTGTGTGTGTGTGTGTGTGTGTGTGTGTGTGTGTGTGTGTGTGTGTGGATATGGACTTAAGCTCCCACATCAATCAATATTTTTGTAAAATTCTGTAAAAAGCGCTTCTAGGCATTTTAAGGATAACATTTCAATATAAACGTCAATTCCGGCCTTTAAGTTTTTAAAAGTACTTTTTTGTAGAACCCAATTTTGTGTTTTATGAATCAAAGAGTTCGAATATTCCTTGACCTGACCAATTCATAGATATCTTTTTTGTTGTTTTCTCTCTCTTTCCGTCGGGATATATATACATACATACATATACATATAAATACATATATTTTAATTCTTCCAATCGCCTCTCCAGCGTCTAGTTTAGTTTAGTTCCCTTTATTGTTCAGTGAATGAACTCTCTCGCCCCAATTCCAGCAGCCTGGTTGCCCTCGACTCTTGCCAGGACTTCCGGGATCCCGGGCTTTCCCTCCGGGGACCGTCGTTTCGCGGCCCGAGGCCCCAGTCTCGGCACCCTCGCCGGGCCCAGGGTGGGAGGCGGCCAGGGGGCCCGAGCTGTCCCGGCGGCGGCGGCGCTCCGAGCGGGGGCTGGCCGGGAGCCTGGAGGCGGGCGGTAGGCGGACTACACCTCCGCGGTGGCTCGGAGGAGATACACCAGCCCAAGCACAGTCGGAGGGGATCTGCGGCTCGGGCCGGAGGCAGCCACTCCGGGCGGGCGCAGGGGGTCACCGGGGAGCAGTCCGCCGGGACCGGGTGCGTGGTGCGTCCGAGGGGAGCTGTGGGGCGCTCGGGGCGGAGCCGGGGCGGGGCTCGGACCCGGACCTCTCTAGATCTGGGGCATCCCCGACCCAGGCGTGGCCCAGACACCCCGCGCGGTTTCTGGCGGGTTAAGAGGGGAAGCCGCTGCCTTTCTCAGCCGACGCCGCCCCAACTTCTCCAGGCTCGAGTTCAGCCTCCAAGTTGCAGCCGCCGGAAAGCCTGCCCCCAGAAGAAGAGCATCTGCCCCTGGACGTAGTTCTCCTGAGGGTGGTGGGATTTGTTGCGGGCCGCAGAGGCTCCGGGGACTGAGCCAGCCTGCGGGGAGAGGGCTGGAGAGGGCCAGAGGACCCCGCAGGGCGCGGGCCGCAGTTGGGGCTTTTGCCAGGCAGGGGCGCTGAGCTGGGCTCCTAGATTCCGAGGACCCTGCGAGTGCCCGCGTTGATTTCGCGCGCTCTCCCCTCATCCGCCAGGTGACCCAAGCCTTATCCCCACAGCATCCGTTGGAGCGACTTCTTCTGTGCACCCTTCCGATTCTGTTTCTCAAGATTACCCTCTCCCTCCCGGAAACGGTGGCGCGAACTGCAGGTGCCAGCCTGAAGCCCGAGGACGTGCGGTCTCTGCGGAGAGCTGCACCTGGGGAGAGGGGCTGGGATCCCAGCTGCCTCTGTGCCGGTGGCCCCCATGCTCCTGTCATGGTTAACAGGACTAGCGGCTGGAATAATCCTCCTGCATTTCTTGCAGAAACTCGCGTTCCCTTACTTCTGGGACGATTTCTGGTACCTGCTGAAGGTGGTACGTTATGGAATTCGGTTGGAGACGTACGCACTGAAAGGGGAGCTGTTCACTGTCCTGGATAAATTCCTGAGTCTTGCCAAGAAGCAGCCCCAGAAACCTTTCATCATCTATGAGGGAGACATCCACACCTATCAGGATGTGGACAAAAAGAGTAGCAGAGTGGCCCACGTCTTCCTGAACCATTCCACGCTGGAAAGGGGGGACACCGTGGCTCTGCTGATGAGCAACGAGCCTGACTTCGTCCACGTGTGGTTCGGCTTGGCCAAGCTGGGCTGCGTGGTGGCCTTCCTCAATTCCAACATTCGCTCCAACTCCCTCCTGCACTGTATCCGCAGCTGTGAGCCCAGGGCCCTCGTGGTAGGGGCAGGTAAAGTACCGGGTGAGGGTCACCCGCCTCCTCCCTGCCCTTTTTTGTTAGAACAGTTCACAATTAATACTTTGGGTGTGTGATGAAGTGTGCGTAGTAAGGATACAAAACAGTTTTACAGTTCTGTGACTCGTGGTGGTTTAATTCTCCCTCTTCCGTTTCCACCACTTTCTCTGTTGTAGATGAGTAAATACCAAGACGAGTTTAAAAAACTTTTCTGAATTTTCTGCTTCTTACTGTTTTGGGGAGAGGGGGCAGTTTTACGGTTATTGATGCCTTCCTTCCGTGAATGTAAGAACACAGAGAGATAGAACTTGGTATGTTTTAAAATTTTGTCCCACCTGACAAAATTATTTGACGTGTAGGAAAGGTATCTTGATTTCATGGCGGAATACCTATCTGTCTCTAATAGTATCACTATCAAGGCTGACTACATTTGAAGAACAAATATGTTTAATCTGAATTGCATGAATTCTTATCTTCATGTCTGCTTTTATTTTGCACTGCTTGCAAGCTAGGATTTGCCCAGCAAGGTTAGGTTCCCATCTCCCAGCCAGTGGGCGGGCTCTTGGCAGACGCTTGGCAGACTCTCTCTCTTAACCAGCCCTGTCTGTCATCTTTTTTTTTTTTTCCCCCTGTCAGTAGGTTCTAGTCTTCTCCCTCCTCCCTTGGAGTTAGGCTTTGGATGCACATGTTGACACAGAACTACAAGGGAAAGGTTTTGGTTGATACCTAATTAACAAAGAACCTAAGGAAGATGGGTCGCACAACCAAGTGGAATTGAAGTATGACCAGTGATACTTATTTGGTATAATCTAATGGATTTATGCATATTTTTCTAACACGAGGATTGGCAGGTGGAGGATGAGGAGGATCCACAGCAAGGGCCTTAGTGAAAGTACTTAAGTAGTTTAGACTAAGTGATACACACTGAAACCTCATATGGAGTTTTTAGATTTATAGAGCATTATGGAAAAATTATCTACGTTTATACATTAGTGATCTCGGAAGTGTAGAACTTTACAAGTAACCTTTATCCTATAACACTTGCATATCACACAATAAGGGGTTAGGTGATATATAGTACACAAGTTAGTTATTCAAGACTTTCATTTCTGCTCATTCCCCTTGTCCTTCCAGCTCAACTTGTGACCTGAGAAAGTAGCAAAATGTTTACTCTCAAGCACTGATTTTATCTTGTTTAATCTAAAGGAGTGGAGAAGCTGAATAGTCTCTCTTGTCTGTTTTTTGTTCCTTTTTTTTTTTTTTTCATTCAGTAGTCATATCCTCCAAGACTGAAATTCAATCCCTTGTCTTGGAAAGAGGTTAACTAGTGTGATGAACTTCCTCTGAACTGTAATAAGTAGGATAAATGAGTCATACAGAATTTTGACATCATGGTGAACAGGGGCAAGTGATAAATGTGAATGCAGCAGAAAAAAATACTGTTCATCTCTGGATATATTCTAACATTTTATTGCTCAATCTAATTTAGATAGCAGTTTCTAGAGCAAATCGAAATTTGGTTGTGCTAGTAAAGCCACAAATTCCTTTAACAAGAGCAAACTAAGAGGGCCAGGGTATCCCTAAAAAAGATTTGGGTGGCCATGTTATTGAAGCCAACCTGGGAAACATCCTATAGCCAGTTTCCTGAGGGATTCCTCTGAGAGTGTATAGGGCTGGTTACCTCTCAGCAAAGAACAGTCAAACTTTGCTCTTGACTGAGTCGTAGCCCAATTAGGAACAATTAATTTTGCAGTTCTACTTGTGCCAAAGTTTTGCTTTGCTTGCCAATAACTAAATTGCATGGTTTCCTTGTTTTTGACTTCCACACCAACAGTGAGTTTTTGTATATAAAAGCCAATGATGGGGATGATGGAGTTTTAAGCCAAAACCATTTAGTCAGTTTGCTTAGTAATAGATAGGTGGAGCAACAAACCTTAAATCTTATTAACAGTTCTTTTTAGCGTATCTTTAGAATATATAAATTACATATGTTTTTCAAAGATGGGACAATTGTATTTTATGTAATTCCTGGGTGGTTGTGTATTTTTTGTTTTTTGTTTTGTTTTGTTGTTGTTGTTTGGTTTTTGGTAGGATGTGGCTTATCACGGGGACTTTTCTGTACTTGAAGCCCTTAGCCTGAAACACTGTATTCTTGGCATCTTGAGTTACAGTTTTTAGAGCTTTAAATTTTAGAGGTCTTGGAGTCTCATGGAATGTTTCTAATGGAGAGGTATCATGAAACCATTATATCCCCAGGAAAAGTGTATTGAGAAAGAAATGAGTCAGAGGGTTTAGATGAAGATAAGCCAGACAGATTTGGATTTCAATTATGGTCTACCACTTCTTAGCTCTGTCATTGAGGAAAAGGTCACCAGTTGCCCTGGGTCTTATTTTACTTATTTGTAAAATAGTGACAAAACCAATCTACTTCACAATGTAATTCCGAGATTAAATGAGGTAGCTTTTGTAAAGTGACTAGCTGAGTGCCTGGTATGTACTAACTGGAGCTGTAGTGAATTGAAATAATTGCTATTATTATTATTATAAAGTCATTTGAGGCTTTTAATAAGGAAACTTGCTTGGATTTTCCTGCTACAATCTAATTTGGTGTTAGCTATAAGAAAGGCTGGTAAGTAGTTTGGTACAGGACCTCAAGCACCTTACTTTGGTATGTTTTAACAACGTTTTTTTTTTTTTCCAGAAGTTATATAGAACCGATTTCAAACAGATTTATAGGCAGGCTGGATAATGCCTTTTTTTTTTTAAGATTTTATTTATTTACTTATTTAGAGAGAGGGAAAGAGTGAGCAGGGGGAGTGGCAGAGAGAGAGAGAATCTCAAGCAGACTCCCTGCTGAGCATGGGACCCAAAGCCGGGCTCCATGTCAGGACCCTGAGATCATGAGCTGAGCTGAAATCAAGTGGATTTTAAGCTAAGCCACCCGGGAGTCCCCAAATAATGTCTTATAATTCTGTCTTCAGGAATAAGTCAAAGGAAAAGATGTCAACTAATCTCCCAGGCAAATTGTTAGTGTCATTAACAAAAATATTGACAGTTGCCCGTTACTCAAGGCTGATTATTTAAAAGATACTCTCAGCGATTCCGAGAGGCAGGTACAGAGCTATGTATTGGCAGCAGAGGGAAAGACGTTCACTGAGAACAACTTAGTTTGCAGAGCAAAGATTCAGAGGCTCATCTCTGATACAAGACTGTGTTGTACTATATAGCCCAACTGTTTCTGAGGCTGGTCAGTCCCCTTTAGCTATAACTATGAAAAAATGTGCATTCCAGTTATGTAAAAATACTAAAATAAAGGTTGCTAATATTAAGATACCAGGTTTTTCATATACAGATAACTAGAAAAAAATTAAATTTTTTTTAAAGATTTTATTTATTTATTTGACAGAGAGAGACACAGCGAGAGAGGGAACACAAGCAGGGGGAGTGGGAGAGGGAGAAGCAGGCATCCCGCTGAGCAGGGAGCCCGAGGCAGGGCTCAATCCCAGGACCCTGGGATCATGACCCGAGCCGAAGGCAGCCGCTTAACCGACTGAGCCACCCAGGTGCCCCCAAAATTAAATGTTTTTAAAACTCTTACTCCTTTCTCTCACAGTCTGAAGATTCAAAAATACTTGCCAGGAAGTTTCCTATCTGTATAATGTGGTTTTGAAGATGTATTAAATGGCATTTCAGATTTCCCTGGAAATTTCAGTGCTTATTGAAAATTAAATAGTCTTAGGTTAAACCTCGTCCTTTCCTCCCACTATTTCAACTTCAATTATTACTAATAGTGCCTGCAGCCAAGATTATCATCTACCTCTATATGCTTTTCTCTTTACTTAGAATAAACAGGAAAATGTTGGGATGCTTGTATATCACTTTAAAAAGTCCATGTAATTATATTCTTTGATCTACTTAGCAATAATAATAATAATCTTAATAATAAATAATAATAACCTCTTCCATGTCTAAAGTACTTTATGAATTACAAATTGTTTATATACATATCTATATACACACATATATATATATAGTCTTATGTGACGCTCACCACAGCCATAGCCTCGTTTTAAAGGGAGGGAGAACATGGTTTAGAGCAGGTGAGCCATCTCCTCAAGCTCACCCATGTAGAAGAAGCAATGTACGGTTTGGAGCCGGGATGTTCTGATGTGAAAGCCTGCTGGGTACACCTTTGTCTTTGTCCTTCTGCTCCTGTTCTTTGGCCCATCACCATCTTTTCCTTTCCTTTCCCCATCCCTTCCTGCCCCCCACCCCCTTTCCTTCCCTATCTCTCACCTCCCATCTATCCACCTACTTCCTTTCAGTAACCCCTCCTGCCTCGGGTGTGGTATGACTATTCACAGCGGCCCAGCAGAATGGTCAAGTTCTAGTCATGATTTGTGCAGACTCAGGACTAGGCTCAGAACAAGGTTGTAAGCTCTTTGAGTGGAGGCAGTTTATTTTGTTCACTGCTAAATTCTCAGAACTTAGCACAAAGGAGATGCTCAACAAATATTTATTGCCGGTATGAATGAATGACCTCATGAAAAAGTACGAAGTAGATATGGACACTCCGTAACTTCTAATTTACTTGCATATTTTTGCTAATAAATTGTCCTTCTGCTGTCCATTTGGTAACTGATTTTGATAGTAGATGCATCAGTGGAATTTCTTTGTTGTGTTATTTTATATTAATGTTGCTAATTGTTAGAATCATAACTCCCCAAAAGTACGAAGTGCTTTAGATACACTAAGCATCCCCAGAGTTTCTAATTCATTTGCATGTATGTATTTTGTACTTTCTCCTTTCTTAATATACAAAAATTATTCTAAGTGGATAACTAAAAATATATATATCAATATTACCCTGAACTCTTACTTTGGATTCAATGGTATCAACATGTTTGGAAGGGTTTTGTGTTCCTGTTCATAAGAAACGGCTCTAATAATTTACGGTAATGCATGCAGATTTGCCCTGTTAGTTTTCCTGAACT